TTGACACGGCCCGCCGCATGAGGTGCTCGTGGCTCAGGTTTGCCCCGGGCTGCACGTCGTCCGAGTGCCCCACTGTCCACGTTTCCCCTCGGTCCCGCTCTGGCTCCCGCTGCCGTGTGGGGTGAGGACTGTCCCATGTGGACAGTGCTGAGCTTGCCTCTCGGGGGGTCAGCAGGGCGCCATGCTCAGGAGCCAGGTGATGTAGGTGGCCCTGCTGCTGCCTCCTCCCTGCACCTTCCTCCACGGTCCCAGACCCAGGTGCATCTCGTAACAGGCGGTCAGCATTGTGTCACTGCCTGGCATGCAGAGGTGAGAACGTGGAGGAGGGCCTAGGAGGTGAGAGAAGGAACCCAGGGTGCCGTGTTGAGTTGCTTCTGAAAGACCCTGGGCACGTGAATGAGGCTGCAGGGTGCTCGTGGGGAGATTCTCAGCGGCCAGCGCCACTCCCGGGCCGGCTCTGGCATCCGTGCACCTGGCCCGGCTTCCCCAGGGTTTTCTTGGCGGGGCGTCGGAGCCTGGGCAGGTGGCTGTGTGACACAGGAAGCCTCTGCTGCCCTGTGTGCCCAGACCCCCAGCCAGCCCGGCTGGCAGCTCTGCAGGGGCCAGGGCCATGGCCCCCACAGGTCACAGCTCACCCTCAGACACCAGCTTGAAGACGCGGAAGGTTGTCCTGGGCAGTGAGCGCTCGGGATCAGCTCAGGGCTTCCGAGCCGCACGGCGAGGCTGTCCTGAGGAGCTACCCGTCACCTGAAGGATTATTTCTGGGAGAGACAGGGCAGAGATGGCCGCTGGGCATCGGTGTGCCCTCGGCTCAGTGTTATCTCCTGTAGGGCCCTCTTCTGGCCAGGGCGATTAGAAGGCAAGGTCTCGTCTCCTTCCTTTTAGTTTCACCACCAACCCTGAACGCTTCGCAGACGTAAGGTCCTTAAATGTGAAGCAAGGGCAGGGTGTAGCCTGAGGTCCCATGAGCACAGGAGGGCCCTTTTCATGGCCGTCTAGCTGTCCCGGGGGCATCATGCAAGGGCAGAGGCGTAACCTGAGGTCCCGTGAGCACAGGAGGGCCCTTCTTGAGGCCGTCTAGCTGTCCCGGGGGCATCATGCAAGGGCAGGGTGTAGCCTGAGGTCCCGTGAGCACAGGAGGGCCCTTCTCATGGCCGTCTAGCCGTCCCAGGGGCGTGAGGCAAGTGCAGGGGCGAAGCCTGAGGTCCCGTGAGCACAGGAGGGCCCTTCTCGTGGCCATCTAGCCCTCCCAGGGGCACGGTTTCTTACGGGGCTCTTCTTCCAGAGGCCGAGCTGAGCGAGCGGAACCTGCACCCCACGGCGGTGGTGCTCGCCAGCACCGTGAACCTGCTGCAGACTCTGTGCCTGTCTGCTGGGGTCCACGCCGAGCTCATGCAGAGCGAAGCCACCAAGACCCTGTGTGGACTGCTGCGGACGCTGGTGGAGAGCGGCACGGCGGGCAAGCCCTGTGCGTGGGGTGGCAGGCGGGCCCAGAGCGCCGGTCGGGCCATGGCATTTGCATGCGGGCCAGCGTGGGTGTGCACGGGTGTGTGTGGGCGTGTGCCTCTGCACCGGTTTGTATTGATTTGAGCAAGAGTGAATGAGGACGTGAGTGGGCGATGGGTGACGGCGCGTTTGTGACTGTGAGTGCTGAGAGTGTAGGTATGGGCGGGTGAAGTGTGAGAACATGCTTGTGCATGATTAGTACATGTGAGTGTGTCAGCGTTAATGTGTGTGTGTGGTATAGTGAGTGTGAGTGTGTGGGAGATGTGTTGGCCTGTGTGCCCTTGGGTGTGTGAGTGCAGACTTAAGCGTGAGTCTGTGAGCATGAGGCCCAGTGCTTGTGCGTATGAAGGAGTGTGAATGTGGGTGCAAGTGTATGAAGTGTGCACATGTATGTGTGCATTGCATGTCATTGTGAGAGCACGGGTGTTAGAGTCTGACATCGGCATTTTGAGTGTGTCCATGGGAGTGTGGGTTCCAGTGGGTGTGTGTGTGGTATGAAGTGTGCACATGTATGTGTGCATTGCATGTCATTGTGAGAGCACGGGTGTTAGAGTCTGACATCAGCATTTTGAGTGTGTCCATGGGAGTGTGGGCATGGACGTGTGGGTTCCAGTGGGTGTGTGTGTGACTGGGCTTGTGTGAGTGCATGTGTGTTACTGTGTGTGCATGTGCGAGTGGGGAGTACATGTGAGAATCGTGTGAGTATGAGCTTCTGTCTTAGGTTGCGTGTGAATACGTGCGACTAGGACTGAGTGTGGATGTGTCAGTGATTGTGACAGTGGTGCGAATACATGAGAGTGTAAGAGTGGGCGTGTGCATGTGGAAGAGTACGTGAGCTCCGGCGAGTGTGTCTGAGTAATCGTACAAGTCGGTGTGGGTGTGTGAGAACCACGAGTGTGAAAGCGAACACCTGTTGGCAGGCGTCACGGCATGTGTGTCGGCATGTGGGAGTGTGTGTGTGCTGAAGGAAGGCCCCTCCCGGCCTCACACCTCAGCTCAGGGCAGAAGCGGAGTGTGGGGGCGTGGGCTTGGCCTGAGTGGCCCCGGATTGCAGCTGTTAGCGCTGCAGGAAACCCGTTCCCTGAGCCCGTGCAGACTTCTCCCCTGGCGCTGGAGACCTCCGGTGCAGGCTGAGGGTCAGCCAGGCCACGAGGGTCTGAGGCCCAGGCGATCTGGAGCAGGGCACTGGGTGCACTGTCACCGGTCGCCGCCGGCTGAGTTGCCAGGAGCAGGAAGTCGCTGAAAGCCAGCACCGGTCAGTCAGTGCTTCTGTTTCGGAGGTTTAAGGGCGGAATGTACCTTGAGCTGACTCAAGGCCTTCTCCCTTCCCTGCCGAGTTACTGGAACTGCGACGGCTCTCGGAAGCAGCCTGGGCTGAGACGCACACGGCGGGCGAGTGGCAGCCCGCCCGCCTCACACGTGCTGTCCCCACAGCCTCTCCGCACCGCCTGGTGTGCCGGGAGCAGCACCGGAGCTGGTGCACGCTGGGCTTCGTGCGGAGCATCGCACTCACGCCACAGCTGTGCGGCGCCCTCAGCTCCCCACGTTGGATCGCGCTGCTCATGAAGGTCGTGGAAGGGCACGCGCCCTTCACCGCAGCCTCGCTGCAGAGGCAGGTAAGGCCCTGTAGGTGGAGCCCCCGCCCCCATGAGAGGCTCCCAGCTCTCACAGTTGGCGCCTTCGCTCAGTGATGCCCGCAGGGTGGCCCTGCGCATAACACAGTGGC